CGCCCCGCCCCCCAGCCCTCCTGACAGACTGGTTCGAGAGCCTACCAGGAACGCAAGGACAACCATAACTGACGTCGATTGGTCAGTTCCTCCCCGTTGAGGAACCGCCACTTGATGGACTGATAAAACAGCCTACCAAAAGAGTGCATGAGCCGCAGTGGTTGCCAATTGGTTGCGATGCCGGCTTGGCTGCTTAAATTTGTTCTCCAGGCCTTAGAACCAGTATACTATTCCCGCGGAGGTTCAGGTTGTTGGGGCTGGATGGAGTGCTGGTGTCCTTTTCAGTTGATGAGACATCTGGAAGTGAGTAGGTTGTACTCTTTTAAAGATTTCAATGAGACTTTATGTTGCGTAACTTTTACCACCGAAGACCTCTGGCCTCCCTGCCTGTGGAAATGTGGACCACGCGAATGGGGACGTCTAGAAGTGGATCCTTTGTTTCCGCAACCGAGTTGCCGGGCGTGGGTGGGAATCGCAGTGGGTGTTCTCACGGGACAAGGTGTAAGACCTAAAGTCTCACTTCTACTCCACGGAGCGTGAACAGCCGAAAGGGCCTTCACGATGCTAAGTCCTATAGCCCAACGATGGCTCCGGAGGCAAGACCCAGGGCCTTACTTCCGGGAGCCTTGAACAGCCCAAAGGGCCTCCGAGATGCTGGGACCTATAGCTCAGCGAGGCTTCAGGAGCTCGTCGAGCAGCGAGAGTCACCCAGGAAGGAACACACCAGGCTCGTTGGTGAATAGACCTTTATTAGTCTGGCCAGACGGCACTCTCAGAATTGAGCAGCTCAGAGAGGCGCAGCACAGGGGTTAGCACAGTTTCTTAAAGGCAAGGGAAGAGGATGGCAAGCACAGCAAGTGGGCCAGGGGTCGGGGTCGGTTTTCTGCCGTCTGTCTAAGGGAGTCAGCTATGCGGTGCACCTGGCCTTTCATCTCCAGACCTCAGGCTGTTCTGTTCTAACAAGGCCTTGAGTCGCTGTCTCGTTTGCCCGTACCAGGCTTCCATACACTGTTTTAATCTTATCTTGGAGCTGGGTAGAAAGAAATGTGTGCTGCTATATTCTGGCTAACTAGGGGTTACATAGCGGTTAGGGTCCCACAAAGGGCTTTGCCAAATTACCCCACACACACTTGTCTTCTGCATTGTCCGATGAATCCAGAGGCCTTTACACTGTGCGAAGCACAAGAAGGCTCAGAGGTAAAGCCGCTGGAAACCGGCACCCAGCAAGACCCTGAAGCCCTGGAAACTGCGCGAGAATGGAAGACCCTGCCTGAAACCCACATTCCTGGAATACAACAGCAAGGCTTCCCTGTCACCGGGAACTCAGGTGGTCACAGGGCATCGTTGAGGCTGCTAGCTCTGAGTTCCCACCTTCAGGTGCATAGGATGTCTGTTCCTGGATTCACGTGGCAGGGTCCCAGGGCACCCTGAGGACCCAGCCGGAGAAAAAGCAGGTCAGCTGCAGCCCAGCCCCCCTCGCAGGACTAGGTGGGAAAGCCATTCCTTCCACCAGCCCCGACAGCCTGGAGTGTCATAACCCAGGTCCAGGATGGTGACTACAGAAAAGCTGGGTGCGAGACCCCTCAGTCCCATCCACACCCAGATGGCATCCCAGCAATCAAGTGCCCACAAGCGTGCCTGCCCAGTTTCAGGCTGTTTCAATATACTCAACTTTCCTGCTCTCTGCAGGCTTTCTCATATATTTTTTTTTGCTTTTAAATTTGACTCTGACGACACCTCTGCTCTGGGGACTGACTTCACTCTTGAAAAGGATGACTCACTGTGATCTAGGGCAGCTCAGGGGATTCCCATGTGCGTACTTCCTGCCAAAAAGAAAGCAAAAGTCACACACACCCTGCAGCCTGGGAGGCAGGAAAGGAGCAAGAAATGTCCCTGGGCAGACCCAGGAGGGGCCACCACACCTCCCACTTCCTGAAGGATGGGGTCTCTGGTGAGACTGGAGGTGGGGACACATGGCTGCCTTTCCTATCAACCCCAGGGTGCCCAAGAAGGGACAGCTGTCCTCCTGCCCTGAGGGTGTTAGGGCCCCACTGTGGGCCCGAGCTGAGACTGGAGCAAACCCTGTGGTGGATGCCCGCTGTGCTGGCTTGGCCGGAGAGGGGAGGGGAGGCCCTGTTTACTGTGGCAGGATGACTGCCGGTGCCTCCCACACTGCCTGAGCTTCTCCAAAGCAAGCAACTGCCCCTGGACAGCCCGACCCCTGCCATCTTTCCTCCCACTGCTCACCCCTGGTCTGGCTTGTGCATCGTGGGTGCTGGCAGAGCTGAGCCCTGTGGGCACTTCTCGAGCACAGTGACCACTTAGCTTCCACAGGCTGGGCAGGTGTCAGAACAGCAGAGACTAGCATGTACATTCTATTCGACAGGTAGATTGCCTGGCCCACTTAGGGCCCTACCTGTCGGACACCCCTTGTGTGTCTGCAGGGAGCAGGAGAGGGATTGGCTTACTCACTTTGAGAGCTTGCTCTCCTCCCTCCTCAGGAGTTTGAAAATCACCTTTTGCTGCTGGTTTCACTCCTGCCCTGGAGTCACCGGACATTTCTAGGAAACCCAGTGTAGCTCTGGGCCAGAATCTCTTCAGAGTGCCAGCAGGGCCTTCCCCAGCCCAATGCACAGCCCATAGCCGGCTGGGGAATGCAGGGGACTCGAGGTTCCCCTCACAGCTCCTGAAGAGGAAAGAGGCAGTGAAGGTCACCAGGACCCGGGCAGCATGTGCCTGCAGGAGGAGTGCGTGACACCCGGCGCTGTCCCTGTGATGCTGAAGGGGGGCTGTGCTGTGACAGGGAGCAGCCACAGGTGCAGAGCCGGCGAGAGAGGTGGAACAGGAGGGGCACAGAGGAGGGAGCTGTGGTTCATCTCTTTGTTTAAGCCCCCAGAGGCAAAGCTGTGTCAAATGCTTCTGCTGTGAGCTGCACAAAAGTGCTCAGGAAGCTGGAAAACACAGAGAAAGACCAAGAAGGAAGCAGCAATGGCCCCATCCCTCCAGCCCCACAAGCTCTGCAGCAGGTGAGTTCTCACCCACCCCCTTCACACAAGTGCCACCCCTGAGCCAGCGCCCGTCCAGGCCACCTCGCCCTCCCTTGCCTGGCCTTCTTCAGCCTTTAGGGTCTCAGGATGGAGCAGTGTTTATCTGGTGGCCTAGTGTTCCTGCTCCCCATGACCAGTGTCCCTACAGGGCTGTGGAATCTGGATGTAATGGTGCATGCCTGTAATCCCAGCACTGTGGAAGGCTGAAGCAGGACATTTCAAGTTCAAGCTCAACCTGGGCAACTTAGCAAAACTCTATCTCAAAATTTTAAAAGAGCTGAGGATCTATTTCAGTGCAAAGGCCCTGGATTCCATCTCCAGTACCACCACCAAAAAAAAAAAAAAATCCTGCAGAGGAAGCCTTCCTGGATATGAGCTGCTCAGGGGTGGCAGCCCCTTCAGCCTCCTCCAGGGCCCAGTTCTGATGGTCACCCCAACTGGATGGAGGTGGCAGACAGAGCTCTCTGGTCCCCTTGGTCTCCCGGAGGAGCTGCAGGCCCTGCGCCATCTGTTGGCCCATGCGGGAACTGCTGTCCTGGTTTGCTGTGCACAGGTTTCTGCATCCTGACCAGCTGCCAGGCCTGGGCACACCAGCGTCACCCTGATCGGACATGGTTCTGGTGACGGTCCTGGTGACCCAAGGGACTCCTCAACACTGTGCAGCCAGGTACCCTTGGCTCACCAGCTCCCTCCCCAGCAGAGGAGCCTTCTGCTCTTGAACTCAGGACCTAGGACCTCTGACCCTGCCACCCAGGCCTGGTTCTCACTGCTTCCTCAGACCAGAGCCCATCTGGGTCACACCCTCTGCCCTCCACCTGGCACCTCCCTTACCTCGCTCTACCCAGAACACATTGGTCTGCAGCTGGTGAGAAATACAGTGCAACTGGCCCACATATCACCTCCCAGAATGTCCATGCACTCATTCTAGGGAAACAGCCAGGGACTGAACCACAGTACACCAGAGGAACAAGAGTAGTGGAGCAAAACATTCATTACATCAGTGAACTTCTCCAAAAGCAAGAGGGAGCCTGGCATAGTGTGCACACCTGTAATCTCAGCAGTCTGGTAGGCTGAGGCAGGAGGATACAGGTTTGAGCCCAGCCTGAGCAACTTAGTGAGATACACACAGACACACGCGCACGCGCACGAGAGAGAAAGGATGTATTTATATCAACATACTATGTTTTGGAATAAATAACATTATACAGTAGTCAAGTTTCTGTTTTTGAGTTTCAACATCTGCAAATTTGACAAACGCTTTGTCAAATTTGATCTTTTTCTCATCCTAAGGTTTGACAGATGAATCAGCCATATTTATCCTTCTATTTTTCCTCTTGCTGGACCAAGGAATGCTTTTTTGGGGTTTGTTTGGTTTTTGGAGACAGGGTCGCACTATGTAGTTGAGACTGACCTGCAACTCACTATGTAGCCCAGGCTGGTCTTGAACTCTCATTGATCCTCCTGTCTCAGCCTCCTGAGTGCTGGGATTACAGGTGTGCACCACCATGCCCAGCTAAGGAATGCTTTTTATTAAACTGAATTTAAAATTTTTTTTCTTCACTGAAGCCACGGACATGGTTAGGAAAGACCTCAGACCCGAGATACTGTATCTGATAATGATTCAGGACACTTCCATGTCACAGAATATTATAGAAAGTATGATCTGCCCAAACCTAGAGGCCTTCAAACTTCAGTCAAGAGAATCACTGAGTTCAAATGAAGATCCCAGGGGCCCCCAGACTTAAAATAAGCACCCACACTGTGGCAGTTTCCTCTGACCTGTGTAGCGGGTGTTACCAAAGAACAGGGACACAGGCTGGGTGAAGCCTGTGACCAGGGCATATGGTCACTGTGTCACGTATCCCCAGAGCTGTGCCTTGGGGGACAGCCTGTCTACGGCATCAGAGGCTCATGAGCTCCCGGGGACAAGGGCAAGCACTTGAATGTCCAAGGAACCTTGGTACTTAAGACTGTCACGTGGGTCACCCTCTGGGCTGTAGCAGAAGTGTGTCCCCGGGCAAACCCAGGGCTGGGGACCTGCAGGCTGGGTGCCAGAGTCCCTCCTGGCCAGCCCAGTGAGGCTACAGTCCCGTCCTCACCCCTGCGAGTGAGGTGACACAGGTAGGGGCCCAGCCACCAGGCTGAGCAGGAGATGTGCAGGACTTGCTCCTAGGGACCGGCTTCTCTCCAGGCACACTGCTGCCAGCTGCTCCCTGGACTTCGCTCTGACATCAGAATCTCATCCTAGGGAGAGTGAGAAACTGGACATCACAGAATATCACCTTCTCTCGTCCTTACATCTCCATTTTGGGCTAGGTGCTATCTCATCTCCATTTTCCAGATGCTTACAGAAAAGTCAAGAGCAAGAAAGTATGAGCCCTTGCACTTGAACCTTAGCGGACTTACTCCAAAGCCCGCACCGTGACCACTGTCCACAGACTTGAGCTTTGCTGGCTGCCTGCCACCAGGTGACCGGATTTCACTGTTTTCCCAAAGCTGCCGGCGCCATCATTGCTATGCCCTGTGTGGCTACTGCAGATAAGATTGCAGGGATGCAGAGTTCACCATCCAAAATAGAGTGGAGAGCTTGGCCTCGTCAACGAGAACAGGAACCAACTGAATCCTACAGCTTCTCTTTCCTCTGCTGTTTAGTTTTGAATTTTCTGCTGCCCGGGCAGCAGGCCCTGGAGGACAAGGTGGCCCAAACTAACAGGAAGGGACGGAGGGTGCAGGCACCAGAAGGAAGAGCAGTCTCGGGAGGCTGAAGCAGCTAGCAGTGGGATTTGGCGCAGTGGGCACCATGGTCCCAGCTCCTCAGGAGCCTGAGGTTTGGGGTCAGCCAGGACCACGCAGTGAGATTCTCATGTTTTTTAAAAGGTAATAAAAAACAATTAAAAATTTTAAAATGTTCACAAGGATCCAAGTTTGATCACCGGTACCAAAAACAAAAACAACAATTAAAAAAAAAAATTTTAAGGGCCTGGGGTTTAGCTCAGTGGTTCCACCGCCTGGTTTGCAAGTGTGAGGTCTAGAGTTTGATCCCTGGTACCAAAAAAAAAAAAAAGGAAATGAAAGAGCCAGGCCCTGTAATCCCAGCACTCAGGAGGCTGAGGCAGGAGGATTACTGTGAGTTTGAGACCAGCCTGGGCTACATAGTGAGTTCCAGGTCAGTCTCAACTACATAGTGAGACCCTGTCTCAAAAAACC